GGCGATTTTGGTCACTCACCAGTCCCTCCGGAGCCGTTTCTGGGGCGGGCTCAGCTCGTGCCGGGCCGGCGAGAAGCGCTCCCGCCGGCTCCGCTCGTAGTCCCGGTAATCCCGACTGCGCCGCTCCCGGCCCCGCTCCCAGTCCCTGCAACCGATCCGACTGGGACGGACTGGGACAAACTGGGAACCCCGGGACAGGGACTGGGACGGACTGGGAGGGACTGGGAGGGACTGGGATGGACTGGGAGGGACTGGGAACCCCGGGGGAGGGACTGGGACAAACTGGGAGGGACTGGGAGGGACTGGGATGGACTGGGAGGGAACTGGGATGGACTGGGAGGGACTGGGAACCCCGGGGGAGGGACTGGGACAAACTGGGAACCCCGGGGGAGGGACTGGGACGGACTGGGAGGGACTGGGAACCCCGGGGGAGGGACTGGGACAAACTGGGAGGGACTGGGAACCCCGGAACAGGGACTGGGAGGGACTGGGAGGGACTGGGAGGGACTGGGAACCCCGGGGGAGGGACTGGGACGGACTGGGACAAACTGGGACGGACTGGGAACCCCGGGGGAGGGACTGGGACGGACTGGGACAAACTGGGAACCCCAGGGGAGGGACTGGGACGGACTGGGACAAACTGGGAGGGACTTGGAGGGAACTGGGACAAACTGGGAGGGACTGGGAGGGACTGGGATGGACTGGGAGGGAACTGGGATGGACTGGGAGGGAACTGGGAGGGACTGGGGGGGACTGGGATGGACTGGGAACCCCAGGGGAGGGACTGGGATAAACTGGGAGGGACTGGGAACCCCGGGGGAGGGACTGGGAGGGACTGGGAGGGACTGGGAGGGACTGGGACAAACTGGGATGGACTGGGAACCCCCCAGGGCCTGAACTGGGATTAACTGGGAGCCCGGGACCCCTCCCAGTCCCTCCCCGGTCACTCCCAGTTTATCCCAGTCCCTCAGGGGTCACTCAGGGTCACTCAGGGTCACTCAGGGTCCCTCACCGGTCACTCATTGGTCACTCAGGGTCACTCACTGGTCACCCAGGGGTCACTCACTGGTCACTCACTGGTCACTCATTGGTCCCTCACTGGTCACTCACTGGTCACTCACTGGTCACTCACCGGTCACTCACCGGTCACTCAGGGTCACTCACTGGTCACTCATTGGTCACTCAGGGTCACTGGTCACTCATTGGTCACTCATTGGTCACTCAGGGTCACTCAGGGTCACTCAGGGTCACTCACTGGTCACTCAGGGTCACTCACTGGTCACTCATTGGTCACTCACCGGTCACTCATTGGTCACTCATTGGTCACTCATTGGTCACTCACCGGTCACTCATTGGTCACTCACCGGTCACTCACCGGTCACTCAGGGTCACTCATGGTCACTCACCGGTCACTCACTGGTCACTC